TGTGTAATTGAATCACTAATTGAAAGGAGCATGTTCAAAATAATAGCAGTATGGAGTTCTATTAGTGAGGTCATTCATTCTTTGAAAAACAGGTGGCAATTATTGCCCTTATTTAAGGAAGGCAGCAAATGTTGTACATGCTGGTTACAGTGCATTTCACTCTGAAATTCTGAGGAAAATGGGTTGTTCCAGACATTGTTCAGAAGAACAGCGTACCTTGATTAAAAAGTTGATTGGAGAGGGGAAAACATATAAAGAAGTGCAGAAAATGATAGGCTGCTCAGCTAAAATGATCGCAAATGCTTTAAAATGGCAACCAAAACCTGAAAGACGTGGAAGAAAGCAAAAAACTACCATTCGAATGGATAGAAGAATAGCCAAAATGGCAAGGACTCAGTCAACAATCAGCTCCAGGAAGATCAAAGAAGGTCTAAAGTTTCCTGTGAGTACTGTTACAATTAGAAGACGCCTATGTGAAGCCAAGCTATCTGCAAGAAGCCCCCGCAAAGTCCCATTGTTGAAAAAAAGACATGTGCTGAAGAGGATACAATTTGCCAAAGAGCACATTGACTGGCCTAAAGAGAAATGACGCAACATTTTGTGGACTGATGAAAGTAAGATTGTTCTTTTTGGGTCTAGTGGCCGGAGACAGTTTGTCAGACGACCCCCAAACACTGAATTCAAGCCACAGTACACTGTGAAGACAGTGAAGCATGGTTGCACAAGCATCATGATATGGGGATGTTTCTCATACTACGGTGTTGGGCCTATTTATCACATACCAGGGATCATGGATCAGTTTGAATACATCAGAATACTTGAAGAGGTCATACTGCCTTATGCTGAAGAGGAAATGCCCTTGAAATGGGTGTTCCAACAAGACAACGACCCCAAACACACCAGTAAACGTGCAACATCTTGGTTCCAGACCAACAAGATTGACGTCATGGAGTGGCCAGTCCAATCCCCGATCTTAATCCAATAGAAAACTTGTGGGGTGACATCAAAAATGCAGTTTCTGAGGCAAAACCAAGAAATAGAGAACTGTGGAATGTAGTCCAATCATCCTGGGCTGGAATACCTGTTCACAGGTACCAGAAGTTGGGTGACTCCATGCAACACAGATGTACAGCAGTTCTCAGAAACAGTGCTTATACAACTAAATATTAATTAAGAGATTCAAAGGAAAGCAAAATCTTCAAACATTTTTTAGTTTATATAGTGAATGTTTGAGTTTGTAAAGAAGAATACAAAACGCTGCTATTTTTTTGAACAGTCTAATATTCACTTTTCTTCCATTTTTTGTAGAGGAACAACACAAATTTGATATATTTTTCTTCATGTTTTGATTTGGAATAGAATGTGCAGTATTCCCAATGCATTTGTGTGTATGGAAATAAAAGCTATTAGAATAATTTTGAGCTTTATTCACTTTTTTCAACACACTGCTATTATTTTGAACACAACTGTACGTAAGTGCAGCCTATGCAACAGATGCAAGTTGTTTTTGGTGGTGCAGCAAAATGCTTGTGTTGTGTTTGCTACTTGTATCTCTTTGTATACATCAAGCAGACCCTTCAAACTGAAAGACAAATAGAAACGCAGTGTCTATAAAATGTGTAAGTTACAGTTCAAATCATTGAGCCAGAATTTTGTTGCAAATATAGGGCATACAGACAACCATTATTGGGAGAATCTTAAATTGCGTATGAAAAACCCTCAAGTAAAATGGAATAGAAAGCAAGCTAAATGTAAAAGACATGTCAAAGTCACATGTGATCACATTAGCCATTGACACAAATATTGCAATGCTTACTATAAATAAACCTAAAAGTACTTTTGGTTTCCCATTAATGACCCAGGTTCTGTGCAGAAAAAATGCTGTCAGCAGATCTTAACTTGCCTTGCATCCATGAAAAAAAAATTAATGTGATGGGATGTTCTTATGGATTGTGCACTGGTCATGGCATCTTTTCGCTCTAAGCCACAGATGTTCTCATCCATTTTCTTTTGGAGACTGGATGCTGATGATTACATTGAACAAGGTATTTAATGGCTGATTACACATCAATGCATGTGCATTAATGCAATTCTTTACTACTACTATGCAATAAAGAGCAGTGCACGCTAAATTTACTTTTTCTTTTTTAAATATAGGGCATTGCATTACATTTGTGTACTGGAGTGCTGCACAATGCAAATATATGCTGCAATGACAAGGTAAATTGTGGTGCCATTCATGCTTGGTTTCCAGGAGTTACAACACAATATAGTGTGAATGTCCCTTAAAGGGGCTGTAAGCCCTTCCATACACCTAGTGAAGTGACTGGCCTAAGGTGACACACAGGGATTAAACAAATCCTCCTATATAATTGTGCTGGTTTACCTGAAGCCAACTGTCCTGTAAAGCCTTCTACAACACAAAGATGAAAGGATTTTTCTCAGCACCAGAAAGCAGGGGCCAGGAATCTGACATCACAAACAATGCAGAGCTAGAGCACAGAGCTGAGTGTATCTGAGAGCTGACTGGAGGAAAGTCAAACACCCACTTCTTCACAGGTTCAGAGAAACATAGAGATGAGGGTATGAATAATCTGCTATGTGCTGGGCAGGGGGGGGGAGGGTAGTCTCCCATTGGGTTGAAGTGTTTGCCTAATCTTTTAAGAGTGAGTCATGCAGATAACAGAGAGGAGAAATCAGAAAAGAACCAGAGGAGGCGCTTTGGATTCAGATTAGTACACACTATAGTGAGATGGGATCTGTTCATTTTTCATGTCTGAGGTTTACAACCAATTTAATATTCCAGAACAGCAAGCTTTACATGGATATACTCTTGGAATAATGCCATCTACAGTTATTTATGGGTTTCAATGCCTAAATGTTTATAATAATGGATTTTTTGGACAATGAAAATAGCTAAATAGTATATAGAGTGCAATAAGCCATACAAATTCAGTCTGAAAAGATTTGTTTGAATTTACATTTGCCGTGAATAAAGTGACAGTAAACTACATTTTTTTATATCTATCATTCTAAAATATTAAGTATACCAGTATACTATGGCTCTGTTTTTTTGTTTTGGTTAAAAAGTCTATTCCATTGTTTTTAGACTTGCATCGAGAGATGAAACAAAGTGGGAGACAGAAAGTACATTGTACTTATATTTAAACATATTGCAATCATTCTATTTTATAAAAATGTTAGTTTATTGTCACTTTAAGGTAAAGAAAAGAGGGGATTTTTTCAGTAAATTGTTAGGCATATGCAATATAAATCTGCTGCTCCACTAAAATTATTACATAGACAAGCACATTACAGCAGCTTCTAAATTACCTTGTCCATTTGAGAATAGCAGTATAATCCACTCAATCAGATTTTACATTCTGTACTAAAGACAATTTTGATGTAATTTGCACTTAAAATATAACACACAATCATATTTGGAAATATATTTTCAGTCTGTGAGGCCCTGATTAGAAGATTATTTAGCCATAAAATATAGGCCTTTAATTACTTTTAAGTAAATATTTCTTGTACTAAAATATTATACCTTTATTATTATTTTCCATAACCACTAAGAGCTAATCTGTAACAAACTCAGATAAAGTGCACATAGTCTTTCATCATTCTACGGGAGGGGCAAGAAAGTGATTTGATGTTCAACACTGTGAAGCATTCAAAATTCCTTTGGCGCTTGTAGACAGATATTTGCCTTGGGCTGTCTCCACCAGCTTAGTTGTGATTCAGATTTTTATAGTTAATTAAAATCTGATTCCTGATTCTAAATGCTCCTTGTGCTTGAGTGGGAACACATTTTTAAAAATTAGTATAGAAAGATGGAAACCAACCTAGTGGCCTAGTGTAGTCTATTTCCCATGAAGCTGAGCACTGGGGACTTTCAATCTTGTCAGCAAAGAAGGAAGACATTATTAAGATAGTCTTTAGAATGTGAATACAGGCCTCAGGCAGATAACATCAGAGGTTACAAAGGGTGCCCAGAAAGTCCACTATAAACTTGAATTGTATTTGCTGCTCCAGTTTTTGCAATGTCTAGACAATTGCAAAGGAAAAGAAAAATATTTTTCTTTGAACAGGCTTTCTTGAAAATGTGGAATGTGAGCAAGATAAAGGTGAAATTACTATAGGATGGGCGAGGAGGCAGCAGAGATAAAGTGACAGTGAAAAAGAAAGGGAGAGGAAGCAGCAGAGATCTGTATTAATAATAATAATAATGGAAAATGGAGGAGGAGACAGAGATAAAAGGAAACTAGGATAGAACAGGATGGGGACAAGAGGTTGCTGGGATCAAGGATACTGTAGTAGGGTGTAGATAGAAGCATGGATACTGCAGTTAAATGGGAAAGAAGGCAGCCATATAAAAACAAGTGAAAATTCACTAAGTCAGACCACCCTGTAATGACAGTACTTTATTACTAGGTCCTAAAAGGGTGGGCCCATCCACAGCTGACCTGTTTGGAGGAAAAATCCTTTAAGTTCCTCTGAAGAGTAACAGGAAACAGTAGAGCTAAGCTGATATGGGCAACCTAGGTCAAATACCCGCACTTTCATGCATCTCAAGTCCCTATAACAGCAAAGAAATTAAAAGCGACAAATCATCAAGTACACTACCAATATTGAAATTGGTTTCCAAAAATAATTCTAAACTCTTGCAAAAAATTCTAGCTACAGAATATTTTTGGCTCACTTCTAATAGCAAAAGCAGCAACATTTGTTTCAGGAAAAAAATAAAACGAGACATCCACTGATTGTAGCAGCATACAAGATGCCTGCAATAACACACACTGCAGGCCTGGTAAGCATTAACCTGACAAAAAGTACTTATCAAATATGGATTTACAATAAATCCTAGGAGGTAACATGTTTTACTTTTACATTGCTTCCTGGCAAAGAACAGATCACTTTCTGCACAGGGGGAAATCATTTAAAACACATAACAAATAGGTCATGGCAGTCACTAAAAATACATTTCATAATAGGCTTTACACAACTGATCTATGTTCCCCACACACATAGATGGCACTAGGCCGGATTCGTCTTCTAGTGTGACCAGGTAACTGGGGTAAAAACTTGAAGTATTTCGGCATTAGATCCAAACAAGCGTCCCGGAATTTCTTTATCCTCCAGTAGTAGATTATTGGGTTTAGTGCAGACTTGAGGTAGCATAGCCAAAGGAGCCAAGTGCTTATCTCAAAAAAATTGTTCTTGCTGTAGAAGTCACTGTTGAATGTAGCAACTAGGCTGTAAGTGGTGAATGGTGCCCAGCAGACTATAAAGACAATGAATAAAATTAAAATAGTGGTGAAGGCACGAGTTTTAAAGCTGATGTCTATATTCATTTGAAAAGGCCTTTGAAGGCTCATTAGGCCTAGTTTGCTTGCCTGGCTGAGGCATATGCTATCCGGATGGCTATGTATACGGACTGCATTGTGGCGCACAGTGTTCAGTATGCCCATAAAAGCATAAAGCATCACCATAAAAGGAATAAAAAAGAAAATAAGAACTATCAGTATTACATAAGCTTTATAACCAGCATTGGTGGTGTAGCCGAAAACACACTGTGGAGCTCTAGAGGGTACCTGTAATTGTGGGTTGCCAACAGCCAGAGGAAAAGCCACACAAAACGAAGTTGCCCATGAAATAACTATGAGAATCTTTGCCCGATATGGGTTCAGCTTGTCCTGTTTCTGAACAATGATTAGAAATCTGTCAATGCTTATTATAAGCAGGATAGCAACACCTTCTATTACAAACAACCAAAAGAACATGGCTGATACTCTGCAGAATACTTCTCCAAAAATCCACTCTGTAACAATGATAGTTATCAATGCGAAGGGCATATTCAGAATAGAAAGCAGCAAGTCAGCAAATGCCAGGCTTGCAAGTAGAATATTAATTGCTGATCGCATGGCAGCTTTTTGGTAGACCATGAGACAGACCACAAAATTTCCTAGGAATGACAGCAAAAGTATAATAATCATTACCGAAGAAAGAATTATTTGAAGGGGTAAATTTAAGGTCTCTAAATGATCTTTTGTTGACTGTGTAGCAGTAGAAGCTGTAGTGTTCAATGGTAAAGTACCAGCTGTGGTCATGGCAACTGGTACGTATTTTGGTGGTAGATCCAAGCTGCCACGAAATGAAGACTGAGGTGTTGTTATGTTTGTATAGCCATTTTCATAGATGACATGTGTACTGTAGGATGTTACGGGATGAGCCGGTGTAAGCATTGCTGAGAACACCATACTTGTATATGCCAAGTTTTTCAAAGCACTTCAGCAAGTCTGGGAAGTTGTTGTGCTCCATGATTCCTGTTGTGATGGCAGATGTGATATGAACATGTGTCTGTAGTCCATTCCAAAAATGTCTTCATAGAACTAAAAAGAGAAAGAAAAACATTGATTAAAACTGAATATATTTAAACTATAGACTGTACTTACACCATAAATACCAGTATTTAAATACAATCACTTTGATGAATAAACTGCATATTTCAAATATTAGCTGCATTAAATATGTGGTTCAAAACATTTTTTCATTGAAAAGGGATCATGAAACCTGGTCCAAAAGCCAATCATAGTCAACAAAACCAACCAATTTCATGTTTAAACCATACATTTTCAAGCAAAAAATTTCAGAAATGATCCAAGCCATGATTGAATGATTGCTTTATGTGCAGATTTCTATGCAAAAAGTTGTATATTGTTCTCAAATAAGCACTGAAAATCAGGATATATGGCAGCTGGACTGGACTAATAGGTTACCAAAACTGAAAAATCTGGCTGCTAAGTGCTCTCTGCATGTTACAATGCCTCTATTCTACCAGGTTGAACAACATTTTTAAAAACCATAAAATCCATGCCCAAAGAGGCAACACACAACATTGTTTTTATTTTGCAAATATAAAATTTGTGCACTAAAAATGCAGTCAATTCAAGGACTATATTAACATAGCAAGGAACCAAGCGATATTCCCAAAATCAATACCATCAAACATTTTCTTGTCCTGCATTGAACTTCTCTGTGCAGTGGGGCAACATCCCTCACATTGATATTCCATGCTGAAAAGTGATTATTTATTTATTTCAGGTACTTATATAGCACTGTCAATTTATGCAGCGCTTTACAGATATTCTACATTCACATCGATCCCTAACCCTCAAGGGGTGCACAATCTAAGGTCCCCAACTCACATTCATGCATACACATACTAGGGCCAATTTAGACATGAGCCAATTCATCTACCGGCATGTCTTTGGAGTGTGGGAGAAAACCCACGCAGGCACAGGGAGAACATGCAAACTCCAGGCAGGTGGTGCCATGGTTGGGATTTGAACCAACAACCCTATTACTGCCAGCAGAAATGCTAACCATTTAGCCACTGTGCTGCCCATTAAAGTACAATGGTCAATAAAATAGTTTTGGTTTTATAAAAGTAGGAGCCCATGTCTATCCAATAAACATGACAACAACCTGAATATGTGAGTAAAGGACCCACAAAAAAGAAGACCCAACAGAGAAACAATCTGTGGCTTAAAAGATGTGTTTTATTGAAAAATATCAAAATGTAAATACAATTAACCCTCCACCCTGCACAGTATAAAACCCAAATGACAACGTTGTCATAACATAAAAACACCCGCCCGGGCACACAGGCACACTGACCACTCACCAGAAAAGGCACCAATAAGCATATCTGTTCTAGAATTAAAAAGTTAATTCAATTTTTTTAATTAGTTCAATGTAATTTCTAGCAGAACAGAGGGTCAGGTAGCAGGACTGCAATAGAAAATGACTGTGTGATGCAGACTCCTCACTCTCTGCCTCTCCAAGCGCAATCAAACTTTCAAAGGTAGGTTTAAAATTGATTGTTGGCTGTGGAAAATGTCTTGCTGGCTTGCAAGAAAGCAGCAAGGTGATGTGTGACAGACCAAACCATGACAGGGGCTTTTGGAAGGTACTAGGGGCTAACCTTCTGTCCACTGATTATGGCCCATGGAGAGAGCAGATCATTCTCTAATGATGGACAACAACGTGATGAATGCTGAGAGCGAGGCTTAGATTAGTTAGCTGCATAAAGACAATAAATCTTCCCTGCTGGAACGGATGGAAAGATGTAATATTAATCTTGTACAGATTAATGGTCAGAGGAAATATGGTGGTCCTCATGCGGACTGGGTTGGAGAAGCTTCTCTATTTGGGACAGAAATATTTATCAACAATCTCCTTCAAGAAATCTATGAAAATAAACTAATTCCACTTTTTAGACTGTTAGAATTTTGTATGGGTTTTGTCTTCTGATGGAAAGATTATACAAGGTTTAAGGGGTGGGTTTGTTGCTGATCTGTCTGCGGTGGGCTACCTGATTAATGAAAGCATTTTCTGAGTATCTGGCTGTTGTATAGCTTACTGTCAATTAGATCACTGTTAGCTGTACTGTTGTGATCAAGCTCTTACCTAATCAGTGTGGGATATTTATCCCAAAATGTAACATTTGTTTTATTGTTCATGAGGGGATTGGCCCCATATCTGGATTGTATAAAAACCTGTGTTTTCTGTTCAATAAAGAGTTCCTGTTTGGCATCTAAGCTAGTCTCGTCTAGTCTTGGGTGTAATTCCCAGCTATAATACCATGGTCCTGTGTCCCAGTGGCGAGGAAGTGGTTCTCTGACGGGATCACCCAATCGGGGTGATAGGCGTTCTGTCACACGGGGGGTTCTGCTATCATCAGCAGAAACATTCCAAAATCACCTAAATTACATTGCAAAGTGAGGTGGAGAAACATCTGCATGAAAACTAAATTGCTCAGCAGGTAGACCATGTTTGTTGTATTCATCCTAATGAGGGGAAGAAATGGAGTTCAGTTACTTCTTTGCTGACCATAATAAGCACTATTGCTTAGAAGCAAGTTTTCAGAACTCAACTTTAGTTTGGACCAAATTTTCAATGCACTCAAATTGACTTGTTTAGTACACTAAAAGCAAATCAACACAATGCATGGCAAAGGCAACATTAAAATCCTAAATGAATTATCAAGTGAATCTGCCAAGTTAAAAAAATCTTTCAAAAATACATCCCCACAGTGTTTGCATCTGGCGACTGACCATGGAATTCTGGGAGGTGGTTTAATGCTCCACCCAAAAAGCACTGACGCACTGGGTATTTGTGAGAGCTCTAAATTGGAGGAGGTGGAGCGCAGGGAGCATAACTTTGTTGGGAATGTGGCAAGAAGTGTCATTTTGCCCTGAACTGAATGAGACAGTCTCTTGACCAGGGATTTTTGCTATTCAGCACTGCACTATTTTAACCAGCCAATGGTTTAGTCATGCAAAGCTGTACCCAAATAAGTTTTTATAATTTTTTTTTCACACAAATAGAGCTTTTTTTCATCACAGGGTTATTTGTTATTATATAAATGAAGAAAATAAAATCTTGAAAAAAAACCCCAAATATTTTCTACTTTCTGTTATAAAAAACTTATCCAATTAAAAAAAAAATATATATCAAATTTCTTCATAAATTTAGAGCAAAATGTATTCCGCTACACGTCTTTGGTAAAAAAAAAAAAAAAAAAAAAAAAAAAAAAGAATCCCAATGAGTGTACATCAATTGGTATGTGTGAAAGTTATAGTGTCTAAAAACTATAGTATATATACTGGAATTTAAGCAGTTATTATGCTATTCTGGTAATGGCAGTGATCAGTAACTTAAACTGGGACTGTAATAGTGTGGAAGGTAATCTGGCACTAACTGATGCTGCCTGGGAAGTACACTAACTGATGTTGACATCAATAGTGACACTAATACAGTGATCAGATATAATACTGTACGTTGTCACTTTACTGACATTGGCTGGGAAGTGGTTAACATCTAGGGGCAATCAAAGGATTATTGATCGGACGTGACTCTTTAACCACTTGCCGCTCAGGCTATGGTCAAATGGCGGCTGGGCGAACACTTCGTCCCTCCGGGAGGACACCATATGGCCTCCTTCCCGGATCGCGCTTTGCACATGCCCGCAGTGACGCGCTATGGCTAGATCTGTCACCGGCCGTGTACCTCGGACACGGCCGATGACAGATCTGTGTACCGGCCCCATTGCCAGTACCATGTGACCTGCTGTGACCAATCATAGCAGGTCACATGACAGTTGTATACAATGGATGGCTTCCTTTCATGCCATCCATTGTATACAAGTATGTCTAGCTGTGAATGGTCGCAGCAATCACGTGCACAGGCTTGGCCAATCACAGCCCATCTGTGTCATGTGATTAGTTGTGGCCAAACAGAGCTAATCACAACAAAAAAGACCTGAATGAATCGATTTCATTCAGTTAAATGCTTGGTTATAGCAAAGAAATTCTTTGCTATAATCAAATTTGGGAAGTGATCAGTATTCATTTATTTTTTTTTCGCAAAGTAGTACAATGTTACTATGGTAACATTATACTACTTTGGTCATAGTGCAATATGAAAAAAAATCTTAAAAAACGAGAAAAAATGTAATAATAAAAAAAAAAAATATAAAAAGTAAAAAAAATTGAACCGCATCCAATCTGCATGATATGTGAAATAACATTGCTTCCTATGGTGCCTGTTCACATACACTATATTACCAAAAGTATTGGGACACCCCTCCAAATCATTGGATTCAGGTGTTCCAATCACCTCCATGGCCACAGGTGTATAAAAGCAAACACCCAAGGCATGTAGATTGCTTCTACAAACATTTGTGAAAGAATGAGTCGCTCTCAGGAGCTCAGTGAATTCAAGCGTGGTACCGTGATAGGTTGCCACTTGTGCAATAAGTCCATTCGCAAAATTTCCTCGCTACTAAATATTCCACTGTCAACTGTTAGTGTAAACAACTGGGAACAACAGCAACTCAGCCATTGTCAGCCCTCAAGCCCTCAGCCAAAGTATTGGGGCAAAGTAAAATGACAGAGCGGGATCAGAACATGCTGAACTGCACAGTACGCAGAAGTTGCCAACTGACTGCAGAGTCAATAGCTAAAAGACATCCAAACTTCGTGTAGCCTTCAGATTAGCACAACAGTTTGTAGAGAGCTTCATGGATTTGGTTTCCATGGCTGAGCAGCTACATCCAAGCTTTTACATCTCCAAGTTCAATGTAAAGCGTTGGAGCAGTGGAGACGTGTTCTCTAGAGTGACGAATCACGCTTCTCTGTCTAGCAATCTGATGGATGTATCTGGGTTTGGCAGTTTCCAAGAGAACGGCACTTGCCTGACTGCACTGTGTAAAGTGTAAAGTTTGGTGGAGGGCGGATTATGGTGTGGGGTTGCTTTTCAGGGGTTGAGCTTGGCCCCTTAGCTCAAGTGAAGGGAACTCTTAAAGCATTAGCATACCAAGACATTTTGGACAATTTCATGCTCCTTTGTGGGAACAGTTTGAGGATGGCCCCTTCCTGTTCCAACATGACTGTGTACCAGTGCACAAAGCAAGGTCCATAAAGACATAGATGAGTGAGTTTGGGGTAGAGGAACTTGACTGGCCTGAAACAGAGTCCTGACTTCAACCCGATAAAACACCTTTGGAGGTGAATTAAAGCGGAGACTGTGAACCAGGTGTTTTCATCCGACATCAGTGCCTGACCTCACAAAATGCGCTTCTGAGAGGATGCTCAAACATTCCCATAGACACACTCCTAAACCTTGTGGACAGCCTTTCCAGAAGAGCTGAAGCTGTTATAGCTGCAAAGGGTGGGCCAACTCAATATTGAACCCTATGAATTAAGACTGGGATGCCATTAGATTTCATGTGTGTGTAAAGGCAGGCGTACAGATTCAGTGCTGTTTAAAAAAAAAAAAAAAAAAAAAAAAAAAAAAAAAAGAGTCATGTACGAATTCTGAGCGGTGCAGATTACAAGCTATTGAATTCTATTGAAACCATTTCTAAACCTGACATGGGTGAATAGGATAAAATCTTGAGCTGATCCTGTCCTGAACCTGATGTAACCCTGACCTGAACCAGTGAACAGTTACAGTGTCAATTAGCTGCGAAACCTGAGCTTCAATCCACACTGCACATGTGTGAATCAGCACTTACACACAGTTTTTGAAGGAACTCAGCAGGTAAGTTGATCCAAACATCTTGGAGAACTAACCACAGTTGTGGGTGTAGGCTAGCTCAAATCCTTCCATCTCTTCATGAAATCCAGACTCTGATGTTAAGATCAGGGCTCTGTGGAGGCAAATCATCACTTTTAGGCATTTCTTAATGAAATTGGCTTTATGTTTGAGGTCATTGTCCTGCTGCAGCCGATAACACTCGGTCCAGAGCACATACTGCCATTTTTCTGCACCCCAGTTCCTATGTTTTCATGTATAGTTGAGTTGTTTAGCCTTATTTTCACATCCAAGGTATGTCTTTTTGGCTGCAATTCTTCCATGATGGGTGTACCTGGGTCCCACTGGTTTCCGTCACTTCAGTGTTGATGACACTGCAGGACATCTTCCTATGTCAAGGGAAGTAAGCATGATGTGTCTTTCACCTGCTGCATTAAGTTTTCTTGGCCGACCACTGTGTCTACAGTATTCAGCATTGCCTGTTTCTTTGTGCTCCTTCAAAAGAGCTTGAACAGCACAACTTGAAACCCCAATCTGCTTTGAAATCTTTGTCTGGAAGAGAACTTGCTGATGCAGTATAACTACCTTATGTTTTGTTGCTGTACACAGTCTTGCTATGGTGTGTGACCTGTGACTTGAAATGGTCTTCCACAACCTTAATAGCAGAGTTTGGTCCTGCACACCCAGTTTTTAGCATTCTACACAGCTGTTTCAGTATCAGTTAATGACTGTGTTTCAACCTACATATGAAATTGATGATCATTAGCACCTGCTTGTTATAATTGATTAGTCATACACCTGACTCTAATCCTACAAAATCCTGGACTTTGTGCAAGTGTACAAAGTGTGCAAGTGTAAGAACTGATGCTGGTTTGAAGCCAAGGGTAGTCACACCAAATATTGATTTGATTTAGATTTTTCTTCTGTTCACTCACCTTCTATTTTGTAAATTGATTTTTTTTTTATCATTTTGTCTCTCACAGTTGAGGTCTACCTATGATGCAAATTACAGGCCTCTCTCATCTTTTTAAGTGGGAGAACTTGCACAATTGGTGGCTGACTAAATACTTTTTTGCCCCACTATATATACACACAGTTGTGTTCAAAATAATAGCAGTGTGTTGAAAAAAGTGAATAAAGCTCAAAAACCTTCTAATAGCTTTCCATACACACAAATGCATTGGGAACACTACACATTATATTCCAAAGGAAAACAAAGAAAAATATATCAAATTTGTGTTGTTCCCCAAAAAAAATTGAAGAAAAGTGAATATTAGACTTTTCAAAAAAATAGCAGTGTTTGTATTCTTCTTTACAAACTCAAACATTCACTATATAAACTGAAAAATGTTTGAAGATTTTGCTTTCCTTTGAATCACTTAATTAATATTTAGTTGTATAAGCACTGTTTCTGAGAACTGCTGTACATCTGTGTTGCATGGAGTCAACCAATTTCTGGCACCTGTGATCAGGTATTCCAGCCCAGGATGATTGAACTACATTCCACAGTTCTTCTCTATTTCTTGGTTTTGCCTCAGAAACTGCATTTTTGATGTCACCCCACAAGTTTTCTATTGGATTAAGATCCGGGGATTGGGCTGGCCACTCCATAACGTCAATCTTGTTGGTCTGGAACCAAGATGTTGCACGTTTACTGGTGTGTTTGGGGTCGTTGTCTTGTTGGAACACCCATTTCAAGGGCATTTCCTCTACAGCATAAGGCAGCATGACCTCTTCAAGTATTCTGATGTATTCAAACTGATCCATGATCCCTGGTATGCGATAAATAGGCCCAACACCGTAGTATGAGAAACATCCCCATATCATGATGCTTGCGCAACCATGCTTCCCTGTCTTCACAGTGTACTGTGGCTTGAATTCAGTGTTTGGGGGTTGTCTGACAAACTGTCTCCGGCCACTAGACCCAAAAAGAACAATCTTACTTTCATCAGTCCACAAAATGTTGCGCCATTTCTCTTTAGGCTAGTCAATGTGCTCTTTGGAAAATTCTAACCTCTTCAGCACGTCTTTTTTTCAACAGTGGGACTTTGGGGGGGCTTCTTGCAGATAGCTTGGCTTCACATAGGCGTCTTCTAATTGTAACAGTACTCACAGGTAACTTTAGACCTTCTTTGATCTTCCTGGAGCTGATTGTTGGCTGCGTCCTTGCCATTTTGGCTATTCTTCTATCCATTTGAATAGTAGTTTTTCATTTTCTTCCACGTCTTTCAGGTTTTGGTTGCCATTTTAAAGCATTTGCGATCATTTTAGCTGAGCAGCCGATCATTTTCTGCACTTCTTTATATGTTTTCCCCTCTCCAATCAACATTTTAATCAAGGTACGCTGTTCTTCTGAACAATGTCTGGAACGACCCATTTTCCTCAGAATTTCAGAGAGAAATGCACTGTAACCAGCATGTACAACATTTGCTGCCTTCCTTCCTTAAATAAGGGCAATAATTGCCACCTGTTTATCAAAGAATGAATGACCTCACTAATAGAACTCCACACTGCTATTATTTTGAACATGCCCTTTCAATGAGTGATTCAATGACACAGAATCAGCAGCATGCATGTCATGACTGTTGGGTCTGTTGGATTTCTATTACTCTACTACACCTGCTAGTAAATTATTTGCCATGTAGAAATATCATTTCTACCAAAAACAGTGATTGATCAGGTTAGTGATGTCTGACTGCTATTATTTTGAACACGACTGTATATACATATATATATATATATATGTGAAATATTTTGACAGTGGGATGCCCTATTACAGTGTGAGAAGGGTCAGGTTGGACCCAGCGTTGTCATGCATACTGGTTATGGAGCTCCTGGAACATGTTTGGTACAGACGAACCTGTATCAGTCTGCTGTTTCTCAGAACAAGTTGTCCTGCAGCTGCATTCATTACAGACAGGGTGCTTACCATGATCAGCTTTATTTCAAAAGAAATACAACTACTGCTGTAATTGGTTATAAAGTGTTGACTGGAGTTTGGCTTCAATTTGTTAGTGTATTTTAATCTTCTAGAACAGTGGTCGGCAAGCCGCGGCTCGCGAGCCACATGCGGCTCTTTACAATCTTAAATGCGGCTCTTCTGTGTGCCGGGCGCCCGCTCCCTCTCCCTCCCCTCCCTCCCTCCCTCCCCTCCCTCCTCTCGGACAGGCGTGTGCCGGGCGGCCGCCCCCTCACCTCCCCTCCCCTCCCCTCCCTCCTCTCGGGCGGCCGCCCCAAAAGTCAGGACTCTGCAGCTGTCAGGATGTAGGCGGGGCAGCCAGGATGTAGGCGGGGCAGCGTGACGAACTCCTCTCCTCTCACAGTCCGCCCTGAAGACCAGAACGGCGCGGGAAGCAAGGCGAGAGGAACGCGCGGAGCAAAGGTAAGTGAATTGACACAGGGGGGACTTACTATATGGGGGATGAATTACTATATGGGGGGGACTTACTATATGGGGGGGGGGGACTTACTATATGGGGGATGAATTACTATATGGGAGATGAATTACTATGGGGGATGAATTACTATATGGGGGATGAATTACTATGGGGGGGATGAATTACTATATGGGGGATGAATTACTATGGGGGATGAATTACTATGGGGGGATGAATTACTATGGGGGGATGAATTACTATGGGGGGATGAATTACTAATGGGGGATGAATTATATATGGGGGATGAATTACTATGGGGGATGAATTACTATGGGGGATGAATTACTATATGGGGGATGAATTACTATGGGGATGAATTACTATATGGGGGATGAATTGCTATGGGGGATGAATTGCTATATGGGGGATGAATTGCTATATGGGGGATGAATTACTATGGGGGATGAATTACTATATGGGGGATGAATTACTCTATGGGGGATGAATTACTATATGGGGGATGAATTACTATATGG